TTGTATACGTTGTTATAGTTGTAGTTCTTGTGACAGTTGTTTTTGTTGTAGTATTTGTACTTGCTGTTGTAGTAGTTGGTGCTGTAGCTATAGTAGTTGTACTTCTTGTAGTAGCTGTTGAACTTGATGTAGTATTTGCTGTACTTGTTATAGTTGTAACTGTTGTTGTACTTCTTGTTGTAGTAGTGGTAGTTATTTTAGTTGTAGTTGTTGTTATAGTAGTTGTAGTGGCTGTAGCAGTTGTACTTTTTGTAGTTGTTGTACTTGTAGTGGGTAACGGTTGTAGATGTTGTACATGTTGTTGTACTTGTTATTACAGTTGTAGTTGTTGTTTTTGTTGTAGTAGTTGTAGTAGTTGGCGTTGTAGTTGTACTTGTTGTAGCAGTTGTTGAACTTGCTGTAGTGTTGTTACAGTTGTTGTAAGCGTTGTACTTCTTGTTGTAGTTATTGTCTTTGCTGTACTAGTTGTAGCGGTTATTGTCGTCATGTCGCAGTTGTTGAACTTGCTGTAGTAGTTGTTGTACTTGTTGTCGTATTTGCTGTACTAGCTGTAATAGTTGTCGTAACTGTCGTCGTACTGGTTGTAGTAGTTGTAGTCGTGGCGGTTGTACTTTTTATAGTTATTGTACTTGTTGTAGTCGTGGTAGCAGTAATTGTTGTTGTGTAGCCGTTGTTGTATTTGTTACGGTTGTAGCCGTTGTTGTTGTTGTTGCAGTAGGTGCTATAGTTGTGGTATTTGCTGTACTTGTAGTACTTGCTGTACTCGTGGTAGTACTTGTAGCAGCGACTTGCCTGTAAACATACAGTCAGACATGAACAGAAACAGTTTTACTGTAAAAATAAAAATAAAACTAAAACATTGTGAAGCTCAGGTTCTGATCTCGTGTTAACGTCTGATTTTTTTTTTTTTTTTTTTTTTCTGGTTAGTTGCTGTTAAATATGGAGCAGTGAGAGGCCAAATTACAAAAATAAATCAATAAAAGAAGAATAAAATAAAAGTGGAAATAAAAAGAAGAATAAGTAAAATAAAAAAATTAACAATGTGGCAGTATAAAGCAAAATAATCAAAAATGAATCCATGAAATAAAGGTAGAAATATAAAGACAAATAAATAAAATAATAAAAATAATATAATTTATTTATTTTTTATTTATTTATTATTATTATTATTTGTTTAAAATTTTATTATTTTTTTAAATAAATGTTTTAATTTTTTAAATTATTTTTCATTTTACATTTATTTTTATTTATGTAATTTTGTGAAAAATGTGCGCAGTAGGAATCTCGTTTTTCTCCGCATATTTCCTTTGTTTTTAAAGCGACATTATAAAAAAATAAAAAAATAAAAATATTAAAGCTGAAGCCGGACAGAGAACAAGGAAAACAGAGGTGTTTCGACGGCGAACAGAAGCAACGAGGAGTCAGAGATCAGAATAAAGTTTACCACAGAACTTTATACAATCAGCCTCAATTTTAAGCTCAGAATTCATAATTTTCCCGATGGAACCACAAACCACACACGATGAGTTTAAGGACCGTTTTAAAGTTGAACAGCCAATGTTTTTTTTGGGTTTTTACAGATTCTGGTTCTGATAAACGCTGTAATTTTGATGATTTTTTAAAAATATATGGAGCGTTTTAAACCTCAGTAATTAAAGAAACCAGGTGGAGAGACAAACAGCGCCACCTCTGGTCATAAAAAACACAACAAAGCTAAATAACTAGTGTCTGAAACAAACGATCTGGAGCTCAGAATGAACCCGAGTCAGTTTAATTTATCTTCGCAGTCAGTAGAAGTCGTATTAAACCTCCCAGATGGATCCTCTGAAGCTCCTGCAGCGATCAGCTGACTGGTCTGATAACACAATCCTTGTGATTCGCGCCTCGTCAGGAAGCAACACAACCAGAGCAGCACACGGACTCACAACAGAAACACAAACTGTCGTCTGAGGCGTCGCTTCAAACCGTCAAACCCACGTCTCAGCGTCTGAACCAGTCAGTGGAGCCTCAGTGTGTCGCTTTGTGTCGCTTCGTGGCTCCTTTTAGTGATTTTGTGTTTCATTTGTGTTGTTTTGTGTAATTGTTTCCAACACTGGTGTCCGTTAACCTTCACTGAAGTCTTTGTCATGTTGCCTGTTGCTGGTTGAACCCTGGTTTGTGTCTCGTTTGTGTTGATTTGTGTCTCGTTTAAGTGATCTTGTCTCATTTTTTAAATTTGTTTTGTGTCTGTTTTGTCTCATTTATGTTGTTTTGTTTCCCATTTTGTCGTTCTGTGCCTAGTTTATGTCCTTTTGTGCCTCGCTTGTGTCGCTTTTGTCTCATTTATGTCCTTTTGTGTCACTTCTCTTGTTTTGCGTCTTGTTTTTGTCATTTTTTCTCACATTTGTTTCACTTTTGTGTCTGAGTCATGTCGCTTTTTGTCGCTTTTATCATTGTGTGTATCGTTTTTTTGTTGTTCTGTCTCATTTTTAGCATTTTGTGTCTTGTTTTTGTTGTTCTGTGCCTCGTTTGTGTCGTCTTGTGTCTAGTGTATGTCCTTTTGTGTGTCATTTATGTCGTTTTGTGTCTCGTACGTGTTGTTATGTGTCGTTTCCGTGTCGTTTTTTTTCCTAATTTTTAGCATTTCGTGTCTCATTTGTCGTTCCTTAATTTTGTCATTTTGTGCCACATTTCTGTTGTTTTGTCTCATTTATGTCGTTTTGTGTTGCTTTTGTTGTTTTGTGTCTTTTTGTTCTTGTAATTTTGTGTCTCGTTTATGTCATTTTGTCTCATTTTTAGCGTTTTATGTCTTGTTTTTGTCATTTTGTGTCACTTTTGTGTCTGATTCGTGTCGTTTTGTGTCGCTTTTATTATTGTGTGTATCGCTTTTGTGTTGTTGTGTCTAAATTTTAGCATTTTTTCATCTTGTTTTTGTTGTTTTGTGTCTCAAACATCCATCGAGTGTCTGTTAACCTTCACTGAAGTCTTTGTCGTGGTGCCCGTTGCTGCTTAAACCCTGGATTGTGTCTCGTTTGTGTTGTTGTGTCTTGTTTATGTTGTTTTTTTGTCTCATTTTATCATTCTATGCCTTGTTTTGTCTAATTTTTGTTGTTTTGTGTCTCATTTGTCGTTCCATGCCTTAATTTTGTCATTTGGTGCCACATTTCTGTTGTTTTGTCTCATTTATGTTGTTTTGTGTTGCTTTTGTTCATTTCTGTCTTTTTGTTTTTGGTTGTTTTTGTTTTTGTGTCTCGTTTTCGTCTCATTTATGTCGTTTTGTGCATCGTTGCTGTCATTTTGTCTCATTTTTAGTGTTATATGTCTTGTTTTTGTCATTTTGTGTCACGTTTGTGTCGCTTTTGTCATTGTGTGTATTTTTTTGTTGTTTAGTCTAATTTTTAGCATTTTTGTCTTGTTTTTGTTGTTTTGTGTCACGTTTGTGTCGCTTTTGTGTCTCTTTTGTCATTGTGTGTACTGTTTTTTTGTTGTTGTGTTCAATTTTTAGCGTTTTCATCTTGTTTTTGTTGTTTTGTGTCTCGAACATCCATCGAGTGTCTGTTAACCTTCACTGAAGTCTTTGTCGTGGTGCCCGTTGCTGCTTAAACCCTGGTTTGTGTCTCGTTTGTGTTGAATTGTCTCATTTTTGTTGTCATTCTGTGCTTTGTTTGTGTTGTTTTGTCTCCTTTTAGTCGTTTTTGCAGATTGAAACCAGCGTCTTCACACATCTGTCTCAGTTTTTTATCTTTACGGTCCTGAAAAACGTCCACGAAACGACACAAATGAGACACAACAACAACAACAACAACTACACACCGACGCCCCCCTGACCCTCTGACAGACCCCCTCTCAGCGACCAGCTCCTGGAAACCCTCTGATCTGATGACGGACTCGGAGCGTTTCGCGCCTGAACACCAGTTGAAGCTGCAGCTCGACTCGGAGGGAAATCACATCAGAGCGGCGCGTCTCCAGGAAACAACACAACCGGACAGAGACTCACAACACGATGTGGGAAAACCGCGGCGTCACTTCAGAGCCGTGAGACTCACCTTCCTGAGCCAGGAGAAGTGTCTGTACAAGTCAATGGGAGCCTCCATGCCTCCTGCCCATCGCTGCCCTGCCTCTCCTCCACTGCCGCTGCTGCTTTGTGTGTCTGTCGGTGTCGTTGGCTGCAGCATGTGAGTCCTGTCATGAGTGTTGCTCACAGCTGTGGAGGTTTTTACGACCTCCCCTCCTCCCAGCGACTCCCCTGCTCCTTTTCCTCCCCGGGCTTCCAGCCTTCCCCTACTTTCCTCCCTCTTTATTCCACTTCTTGTTCCAGCTCCTGCCGTCTGTCCGGGCTTCTCCTCCCCTCCGCCGCCTCTTTCCTTTCATTCCTTCTCTCTCTTCGTCTTTCTCGTCCGTCTGACAGAACAAATGGCCGAACCCACCGAGGAGGAGGAGGAGGAGGAAGGGAGTCGCTGGGAGGGTTCGTCCTCCTTCTTCTCCTTCTGTCTTGTGTTTGTGTCTCAGTTTCCTTTCCCACTTTCTGATGTCAGACTGTGAACAAAGCGGCCCAGCTCCCTCCAGCACCGGGCTTTAATCCAGCTACAGTCACGGTTCTGCAGGACTGTCAGACAGTACACAGGTACTTTAAAAAGTACTGCAATCCCCTGACGTCAAACTACTTACTAGATCAAGTTTTTGCCCCCGATACCATCAGAGCTGATGGTTTAGTCCTGATCTGACAGCTTTGTTACCAGGAAGGAAAAACAAGAAGAAAACAGCTGATCACTCTAAGTTAGTCATGATATCTTCAGCTGATTTAAACACGACTAAACTGTGTAGTTTTACCACCAAAGGCTGTAAAAGAACAAATGACTTTTTGTTAAAAGACTGATTTTCATGACAAACTGGGTTTAACTCAGACTGTGTTCACTTTTGTTATTGTGAAGTTGACTTTTAATGTCCTCAAACTAAAGAAGGTCAAACATGAACTCGAGTTTCATGGATTTAAGTTTTGCACTTTTGAGACTGAAGCAACCAAGCTAGCAACGAGCACCATGATGAAGACTTCTGTGGAGGCTAATGGACACCAGCCAGAGCGTATGAGACACAAAACAGCAAAAATGAGACCAAAAACAAGACATAAGACTTTAAAATAAGTCAAAAAGTTTAGCTAGCAACGGGCACCATGATGAAGACTTCTGTGGAGGCTAATGGACACCAGCCAGAGTGTCCAGCAAAAACAACATGAGACAATACAGCATAAATGAGACACAAAATGGCAAAGATGAGCCCAAAGAAGACATAAAAGACTTTAAAATGAGTCAAAAAAGTTTAGCTAGCAACGGGCACCATGATGAAGACTTCTGTGGAGGCTAATGGACACCAGCCAGAGTGTCTGAGACACAAAACGGAAAAAAACAAGACAATGCAGCATAAATGAGACACAAACAAGACACAAAATGACTACAAGGAGACACAAAATGGCAAAAATGAGAAAAAAAAGGGACAAAAAGGAGACACAAAAGACCTAAAACCGAGACACAAAGGTTTAGCTAGCAGTGGGCGCCATGATGAAGACTTCTGTGATGCTTCATGACAAACTGGATTTAACTCTTTTAGTTCCCTTTTGTTATTGTGAAGTTGACTTTTAATGTCCTCAAGCAAAAGAAAGTCAAACATAAACTTGAGTTTCATGGAAAGTTTTGCACTTTTGAGAATGAAGCAATCGAGCTAGCAACGAGCACCATGATGAAGACTTCTGTGGAGGCTAATGGACACCAGCCAGAGTGTCTGAGACACGAAACGTCAAAAAACGAGACAATACAGCATAAATAAGACACAAACAAGACACACAATGACTGTAAGAAGATGCAAAATGGCAAAAATGAGACACAAAAGAAGACATAAAAGACTTTACAACGAGTCAAAAAAAGTTTAGCTAGCAACGGGCACGATGATGAAGACTTCTGTGGCGGCTAATGGATACCAGCCAGAGTGTGCGAGACATGAAACGGTAAAAAATGAGACAATACAGCATAAATAAGACACAAAATGCCCACAAGGAGACACAAAAGACCTCAAAACGAGACACAAGGTTTAGCTAGCAATGGGCACCATGATGAAGGCTTCTGTGACGCTTCATGACAAACTGGGTTTAACTCGGACTGTGTTTGCTTTTGTTCTTGTGGACTCACTACTCATGACCTCTAAACAAAGGAAAGTCAAACATAAACTTGAGTTTCATGGATTCTTGCACTGTTGAAACTGAAACAATCCAGTTTGTTGTTCCTGTTGAGGCGTAGCGTCTCTAACTCCACCATCTGGTCGTGGTCATGAGGAGACCCAAAGCACACATAAATAACTGGACTGAGCACGCTCAGCCGTACAACACACTGATGTCATACCATCAGTCCAGGGTGTGTTCCTTCTCCGTCGGAGCCAAATGACAAGAAATTACATCATTTCTGCTGAACATCAGGCTGCATTTGAACGCTTTAAACTCTCCGAACTAGGAGCTGTTTCTGAGTGTTTTTATGTTTCTCAGGTTGACTCGCTGTGGCTCATTTTATACCACAAAAGTCCTACAGCTCCATGGAAACAGCATCTCCTCCTCTTGTGTCTTGTTTATGTTGTTTTACCACGTTTTTTTTGCTGTTTTGTGTCTCGTACACTCTGGCTGGTGTCCATTAACCACCACAGACGTCTATCATGTTGGCCCGTCGCTAGCTTAGCTTTTTACGTCTCTTATCCGTCGTTTTGTGTTTTCTTTTTGTCTTTTTGTCATTCTGTGTTTTGTTTATGTCATTTTGTCTCCTTTCATTTGTCAGTTTGTGTTGTTTGTATTGTAAATGTCATCTCTGTGTCTCGCTTGTGTCGTTTTTGCATTTCGTTTGTGTCGTCTCGCGTCTTATTTTGGTCATTTTGCGTCTCCCTTTTGTTGCTCTGTGTCTCGTTTGTGGTGTTCTGTCTCAACATTTGCTGTTTGGTGTCTCGTACACTCTGGCTGGTGTCCATTAACCTCCACAGACGTCTTTGTCATGGAGCAAACTGTTAGCTTTTTGGTTTTTTTGGTTGTTTTTGTTTGCAAAATTTGAAATGAGGCATGCAGAACAAAGCGATTTTCATGAAATATCTCGATTTTAAGTTTAGATTCTGAAAATTTTCTCAGCAAAAACCAAAAGTCAGACATGAACAGCTCTGATAAATGGCCTAATTTAGCATTTTTTAGAGAAATAGTGACCAATCCTTTATTTTTTTATACTAAGCACCAAACACAGACACACTCGACTGGTTTTGGCAAAACTTTTCTCCAATAAAACCTCGATCTCGGTCAGAACCGTGGACGTTCTGCAGACAGCATCTCTAATCAGCAGCAGAGCATCGCGGCGCTTCCTGTGTTTACACGCGAAGCCTTCGGGCTGCAGAATAATTGCGGCGTCTTTGATGGTGTGGCTGCAGGTCAGCGGGGAGGTTTCAGGAGAGGTGGACGGGATGAGCTGCTTGATAATCTGCCAGCCTTTTGTTCTGCTGCTGCTGTTTGAATCTGCAGCCACGAGGAACAGAATCTCTGGAAACTGTGTCGCCGAGTCACGTTTCCGGAAAGAAATGTCGATGAGCTTTATTCAAACCTCCCAATCCACCAAAAAAAATAAAAAACTACATCGACGTGATATTTCCATGATCTGAACCCGGTTTCTCTGCTGCTGAGCCGAACTAAATGTGCCGTAACCACAACCTCTCCTTAACCTCATCCTGCAACACAAATTAAATCACAAACAGAATCTTTCACAACAGCAGTTCAGGGCTGATTGGACTCAAACCAGAGCTGCAGTCGCTGGAAGTCGGCGCCAAACTAGCTGACACCAGGTCCAACTGATGAAACAACAGCAAAAAGTTAAGAAAAACTAATACCGAGAGGCACAAAACTAAAGACAAACAAACAAGCACAAAAACACACAAAACGATCAGCAAAATGTGAATAAATAGATTCAAAACCAATGCAGACAAAACAACCACAAGGAGACACAAACAAACAACACAAAAGGCCAAAAAGACGCAAATCTGCCACAAAGAGACACAAAACCACAAAAATCATGTCAAAAGAAACACAAAACATGCAAAGTCACCATAAAAAGACAAAAAATAGAAACAAAACAAGCAAATGAACACGAAAAAGATGAAAAATACCCACAAAAATCCTAAAATCACCATAAAAAGATGTGAAACAACCACAAATGAAAGATGAAATCATCACTAAAAGACATAAAACCACCATGAAAAGATGCAAAATAACCACAAAGGGTTCAAAATCATCATAATAATTCTAAATCAACAGAAAAAAGTTGGATAATAGCAGCTAACAGGTGAATTCCTCCCAAAAAGATGCAAAATCAGAATAAAAAGATGAAAAATCAACACGAAAGTTCCCAAATCATCAAAAGACGATGTGAAACTGCCACAAATGCAGACTAAATTATCACTAAAAGACCAGAAATCCCCATAAAAATATGCAAAATTACCGCAAAAAGATGAAAAGTGACCACAAAGGCGTTAAAAGTCACCATGTGAAGACACAAAATCATGGCAAAAATTCTAAATCAACATAAAAGATGGTTGGTAACAGCAAACATAAGTGAATTCACCCCGAAAAGATGCAAAATCACAATAAAAAGATGAAAACTCAACACGAAAACTCCAAAATCAACATAAGAAGATATGAAACAACCACAAATCCAGGCTAAGTCATCACAAAAGACACAAAGCCACCATGAAAATATGCAAAATAACCACAAAGGGGTTCAAAATCACCACGTAAAGACACAAAATCATCATAATAATTCTAAATCAATATTAAAAAAATGGTAAGTAGCAGCAAAAATAAGTGAAGTCAACCCAAAAAGATGCAAAATCACAATTAAAAGATGTTAAATCACCACGAAAAGATGCAAAATGAGCACGTAGGGGTTCAAAATCATCACGTAAAGACACAAAATCATCGCATAAATTCAAAATCAACAGAAAAAAGTTGGATAACAGCAGCAAACATGGGTGAAAAAGCTGCAAAATCACATTAAAAAGATGACAAATTACCACGAAAAGATGCAAAATGACCACAAAAGGGTTCAAACCACCAGTATATGTGGTTCTGTTTTCAGAAATGATGCGACTCTGTGCAGCTGCTGGAGAACAACCAGGTGACTGAGATTAAACCTGCTGCTGTTTATGCAGATTTATTTAGATTTCTGGTTCGCTGCAGCTACAAACCAGATCAGCTGTAAACTCCAAAACCTCCTTTTTTTAACAGCTTTGAAACGCTGCTGCAGAGAAACAACCAAACCTGACATTTCAACGGGTTCACAAACACCCACAAGTGCAGAGAAAGTGAACCTGAAGTCTGGAAGCTGGCCGAGCGAGGCGAC